ATAATTTATCCTCATTGCGGGAAGCGCCCCATCAGAAGGCAACCGTTCGAGAATTTTCAATCGTGTCAGACCAGAATTCCTGGGACTTCAACGCCGCGGGTCAACGTGACATTCGCGTCCTCACAATCGTAAATCGTGCCCAGACACCGTTCCTGGAACTGAAGCACCGCAGCTCAATGATACTGCTCCGCCCTGGCAATTTTCAATCGTGCGAGCACAACTCCTGGGACTTCAACCATACGAACCTTCCAAGCAGGTAAGCCATTGAAAGAGTGTGCGCTGCACTAAGGCGAGATCCACGTTGGAGCTATGGCAAACTTTGACGACGAATGTGCGCGGCGCTAAGGCAAAACCATATTTTGACACGGAACCGACTTCTGTCCTTCAACGTGGTACAAGTTTTGAAGACGGATGTAAGCGGCGCTAATGCGAGATTCAGGTTGAAAAAGGACCTGCCCTCACGGCGAAGGTGCGTGGCGGCAAAGCAAGAGCCACATGTTGAAAACAACCCGCCCTCCATTCTTGAGACTCTTGTGAATTTCAATTTTCAGCGTCGTAAGCGATGAGGAAGTTTTAGGCGAAACTCCCGGCTCGGCCTACTGATACATGTGGGGGGCGACAGGGAGGAGTTATCCATGAGGAATATGTATGGAGGATGAGAAGGAGCAGGAAGGGGAGGATGAGTTGGAGGAGGAAGAAGAAGAGGATGCATTTTGAGGCCTATCGGGGCCTCCTGGGGACTTCCTGGGAGCCTCTTGGGGGTCTCTGGCCGGTATCTTTTGGGCCTCCTGGGGCCTTCTGGGGCGTTTTGGAGTCCTCTATGGAGCTTCTGGGAGCCTCTATGGGACCTTTTGGCCTTCGGAGGCCGTCTTGGGGTCCTGTCTGAGCAGTCGTGGGTCCTTCATTGGGCGCTTTAGGGCTGTCTCGGAAATCCGTGAGGAAGTCTTGGGGCCGTCTTGGTGGCCTCTTGGGCCGTCTTGGGGCCCTCTTGGGCTGTTTGGGGCCGTCTTGGGGGGGCCTATGGGGCCGTCTTGGGGCCTTCTCGGGCCGTCTTGCTGGCCTTTTCGGGGCCTCTGGGGCCGTCTTGGGGCAATTTTGGGGGCCTACCAGGTCCGTCTTCGAGGTATCTTCGAGGCCATCTCGACTAATCTTGTCCATCTTGGAGGCATCTTGGAGGCCATCTTGGGCCATCTTGGCCGTCTTGCAGGCGATATAGGCCTTGCCCACCAGGTTTTCGCCAGCGGGCTGGGCCGAAGGCCCATGGGAGATTTTTGGAAGGGCCAGAACACCTTGAGATTCGGCCTGCGGTCCGCCCCTGTGGCGAGCAGCATGCGGGCCTCTTGGAGGGCTGCTGGGGGCCTTTTTTTTCGGAGGTTGATCGACCTCCTACCCTGACACGTCGATTTAGCGAATTGGCTGTTTTCGGTTCGCGAGAGGGCGTCGCGGCCGTGATTTTTGCGGGTCCAGGTCCGTCGGTTTCGATCTTAGGCCGCTTTCACTAAAGGGTGGTTTACTAAAGGGAGGTTTGTCCACCGCCGAATTACAGTCCCCTTTGCGATGGGAATCTGCCACTGCAACCCTCTCTCGGCCCACAGCCACGAGAGGCTTGAAGATATCAGCAGCCTGAGGGCTCCTGGGGGCTTCCTGGGGGCTTGTTGGGGGGCTTGCCTTCTTGGGGGCTTCCTGGGGGCTTGTTGGGGGGCTTCCTGGCGGCCTCTTAGGGGCCTGGGCCTCTCGGGGGCCTGCTGGCGGTCTCGGGGTCATCCTAGGGCGGAGGGCTCGACGTGCCAGTTGTAAGTTGGGCCTCTCCCTCTACAGGAGGAATCTTCAAACATAGTCAAACACTTGTTAGGGGACGATGTTGTTGCTTCTTTTTTATGTATAGCTTTTTTGTTTACATGGTATTTTGGGGTATTTTCTGAGTATCTTGATTTTTTTGCCCCGAATCTGCCTGTTGGGGGGACATGCCCGACCTAATGCCAGTTTGTGTCCCGCTCTTGGGCCCTCCTGGGCCGTCTGGGGGGCCTCTTCGGCTCTCTTGGGCTGCCTTTGGGCCCTCTTCGGGGGCCCCCTAGCCGTCATGGGGCGATCTTGTGGGCCTCTTGGACCGTCCGGGAGCGTTCTAAGACCGAACAGACGAGAGCACTAGAATCATTCAAAGCCTTATACGAATCATAGATTTTGCCCCTTGGGCCTTATGCTGTGGGATCTATTGAGGCCCTCTTAGGCCGCCTTGGCGGCCTCTTGGGCCGTCTTGGGGCCATCTTGGATGTCCTGGACCTGAGTTGACGCCAGAGGGCCAAACTGGCCCGAAGATTACCCCGAGGGGGAAGGGACAGCCTTACGGCGTGGTTCGATTCACCACGGGTTGGCGAGGTTGGAGGGCCAAAGGTGGCCGCTGGGAAGGGCGGGACAGTCTCGGCTTACAGAGCAAAGAGTCTCTCCCAAGACCTCCCTGGGACGACTGGCCCAGAACTCCCCCTCGCCGACAGCGTCGGTGGACTTTCTCAATGTCTGCTTGAGAGGGGCTGGACCAGGATCTAGGCAGTGCTCATTGTGCCAGGTGGGGTCCGCGCCGCTGATGTAGGTGCTGGCCTGCAACGGTGCTTGCGCATTGAGTTCCCATGTTCGAGCATCTAGTCACAAACCTATTGCATATGGGCCGCTACTTGGCTTAGCCTAACCTAGCCCCGCTTAGCCTATACTAGCGAAGCTTATCCTGAGCATTGGCTTTGGCTTTCGCACTCTAGTTATACCTTCATTTCTAACCGAGTCCAGGCTGGCTTCGCGCTGCTTAGTTTAGCAAAGCGCACATTGGATTAGCTCCAGCTTCAATTCTCGACGCTTCGCGCATCCCCACCAGCCCATCCGGAAACGGTTGGCAGACGGGCTGCCCTCCATCTTAGGAGGGGCCTCATTGGGTCTATTTGTGGTCCGTCTTTTGGGTCAGTCATCTGCATCATCATCATCGGCAGCATCATCATCATCAGCATCATCATCAGCATCATCATCATCATCATCAGCATCGACATCATCATCATCATTGTCGTCATCATCGTCATCATCATCGTAATCACCGCTATCATCGTCATCAGAATCAACATCATCATCATCATCGAAGTTCCCATCAACATCATCATCATCATCACAACCACAACCATCATTATCAGCAGCATCACCCCAACCACCATCACCATCATCATCATCAGCATCACCATCCTGAAAATCAGCAGCATCGTCGCAACCATCAGCATCATCAGCATCATCAGCATCAGCGTCATCATCATCATCAGCATCATCAGCTCCATCATCACCACCAACAGCATCATTATCGAAATCACCATGGTCATAATCAGCGTCAACGTTATCATCACTGTCATCTTCATCATCAGCCTCATCAGCACCATCAGCATCAACATCAGCATCAGCATCAGCATCAGCATCATCTGCATCATCATCATCATCATCGGCAGCATCATCATCATCAGCATCATCATCAGCATCATCATCATTGTCACCATCGTCGTCATCGTCACCGTCGCTATCATCATCATCATCATCATCATCATCATAATCACCATCATCAGCATCATCACCACCATCACCATCATCCTCATCAGCAGCATCATCATCCCAACC